ATACAGCCTTTTGCACAAATTATGAGACATTTTTATATATATAAATATACCTAACCAAATATCAAAAACACCCAAGAAATTATGGGATACCGTCGCTGATATTTTGTCTGTAACAACCTGATGCTAGGCAATCATGACAAAATATAATAGAGATATACCATAATTTCTGGGGTGTTTTTGATATTTGGTTAGGTATATTTATACATATAAAAATGTCTCATAATTTGTGCAAAAGGCTGTATATAAACTTTACACTTATATATAATTTGTCTATATCCATTTATAATTCTATCCTGTTATCAGTCCTACGTCACTATGGAGTAACATGAGAAGCACGCGCACTTGCTTCGAGCCATTGTACGTTCGCTTTCGTAGCCTACACAAGTATGTCCATTAGTCAGTGAAAAACTACGCTCTTTACCACCTAAACGTCTTGGTTTCGTGAGTATACTATCTACCAAACCACTTGTTATAATTGCTGCTACCATCTTTATCAAACTCATTATGCCCGACCAGAACACACCAACAGTCGACGGGGCCACTAACGATTCACCGCCATTAACACTATTAACTGACCAACCTGGTATTTCTAAGTGTTCAACTTGTACGACTAAGGCAACCTGCCGACGTGCTTAGCCAACCTGGCACTTCAGACAGTGGCCAACCTGGCCTGAGCGATACTCTAGCCGAAATGAACTCCTCTATGATGCAATGTCGATGGCGATTTTGTTAGATGATTTCATCAAAATCCTTGAGGCAGAGTATGTCGATAACGAACCGCTAGGCCCAAGTAAACCAAAGCCTAGCAAATTTGTAACAAAGCGCTGGTGAATTATTTTGGCCCCAGAAAAGCTAAAACCTTTGCTTGAGAAGCAAGCGAAACCTGAGAATTGTCAGGACATAAACGTCGCCTCAGTTAACGAAGAAATTTGGGGTCAACTGCAGAACGACCACATTGCTGTAGGACCCACCCTACTCCTTCGTTTCTCATGCGAGTGAGAGCGGCCAGTACTTTAAAATATGGCTCGAAGCAAGGGCGCGTGCTTTATTCTCATGTTACTCCTTCGTTACTTCGTTACTGATTACAAGAGAGAATCAGTCCAAATCAAACTTTAACTTCAGGTTAGTCTCGTTTAATTGTATAATCAAAGCGTTGGAATTTTTTGGAGGCACCCCGCGAAGGCCAACGGTAACCTTTTAAAATAGGTCTATTTTTCTTGTAAAATGCCTGAACTAAAAAGCATATTTCATCAGGAAATAAAAAACAAACAAACTGGCGAACAAATGCAAGTAAGAACTGTACAATTCCAACGTTTATTTGTGTTTTTCTAGAAATCCAACACTGATCACCGCCATGGATTTGAGGATCGCAAAACTTTTCATTGGGTTTTGTGTGTCGTATGCAGGACATCGTTGTGATCTTAATCTTACACAGACAAAAAGAGAAGAACTGATCTCCTTGTTAGAGGAATGTTTGGTGATGGCTTTTTTCATAAATGATATCAAGAGGCTTGTCTTCATTTATTACGCACTTGGTTGTTTATATGATCTCGTCCATCAACCAGCTAAATCAATCGATTATTTACAGAGCCTACTAGGCCTCATTACTGGTAAAGGCTATCATGCCAAAGAGATGTATGTTAACCAACGTTTAGGGAGTGCTTATCAATCATTAGGAGAATATCACAAGTCGATTGAATATCACGAAAAGACCCTAGCCATTGCTAAAGAGATTGGTGACAGACAAAGAGAAGGAGATACTTATGGAGATTTAGGAGTTGCCTATACATTATTAGGAGAATATCACAAGGCGATCGAATATCACGAAAAGGGACTGACTATAGCTAAAGAGACTGGTGACAAAAAGGGGGAAGGAGATACTTATGTAATTTTAGGTAGTGCCTATTCATTATTAGGAGAATATCACAAGGCGATCGAATATCATGAAAAAAGACTGAGCATAGCAAAAGAGATTGGTGACAGAGAAGGAGAAGGAAATGCTTATGGACGTTTAA